AAAAAAAATTTAAAAAGTTTTCCGTTTAATTTAATTGCAATTTTGTTTTTGTTTTTCTGAGCAAAAAAATAAATCATACATTTTCCCCTGATTTACAGAAGAGGCCCACTAAAACATCATTCAGTGTAACAATCTTGTCAGGCATATTTACAACAAAAATCTATTTATGACATATTAAAAGACTAATTACTTTCACCCCAAATACTAATTAGTTGTAATTTTACATTTTTTAAATTTGCCACTATCCTAGGTTTTGCCCATTTGTCAGTAAGATCGTTTTACTCGTTTAAAACACAATAAAATGTAATATGCTCCCTTATTCTTTTATATATTTTAATATGTACATGTCAGAGTAAGCATTTACATTTACGTTACTTACATTTAATGTGCTTTCTATGGACATAAAATCACTTTTGTAAATTTATTTTGTTGCGGACATCTTAACATCTTTGACCCACATATAAAAGCATTGCTTATTATTGATACATACAACATATCCAGTGACATGCACCTCAAATTTACATTTACATTTAGTCATTTAGCAGACACTTTTATCCAATTTTCACAATTGTAAAGTGAATTTATACATTAAAGTACATGATTACACTTTTTAGTGCTGAAATAGCACGTTATTATCATGCTACTGTATATGAATATAGTAATCATTGACTATTACGGTACATAGTAATAGTACCAAGGTACCACTTTACAGTCACTGAATTTGACTTCGTAATGTAAACAGCGTCAGCGAATATAGATAATCAGTAAGAAACAGAAAACAACAATATATCACTAAAACGTTTTAAGCAGGTTGTTTTAAAAATGACAAAAGCGATTCTGTTCACTTTTTCATCCCGCGGAGACGCCAACCCCTTCCTCATTGTTATAGACGAGAGCCCGCCTCTCCTAGCTCTTGATTGGTTGAGCAGACAAATTATGAGGCGGGTCCTCCTCTACTCGCGCTCTCATTGGATGCCCTAACAGTCAATCACATAGTTTTCCTACAAAGACATAGTGGCGCTTCACCCGAGGAAATACCTCAAAACTGCAAAGTTGTTGTCTACGCAAACCGATTAAACTTTTTCAAACTGATCAAAACAACATGAACTCTTATTGATCACCCACCTTAAGTTTGATCTGTGAGCAGTCTTGGACTGTATTCGCACGTATAAACAGCTAAAACATAATTCTGTCAAACGGGATCAAATCCACTACCGCTACAGCGAAGCCCCGCCCACCGGATATTCAAATCACAAGGATATGACGCCATCACACCATGTATAGATATTTCCATCAACCTGGGTCTTGTTTACTTTTATTAATTGTATTAAAGTTATTAGATGCACAATTTATACACAGTTATTCATAGCGAATGTTTTAAGTATGCGAAGTGTCAAATTTATTTGCAACGCAGTTAAGTTATTATTTTTGTCTATATTTTATGTAAATTGCGCATTTTTATGAATATTTTATAATCTGGATAATGCGTAATTTTGCTGCATTTATAAATGTAAACAGTACGCAGGGTCTATTTTGTGTGAATTATTACTTCGGCAAGTGGGGGCGCTGTTTCATAACTTTAAACCATCAGTAAGTCAATATCGGTTCTAAACCACAGGAATGACAAAACTAAAAGAAAATGTAATTTTGGTCCAAAGTATTTTATTATATATATATATATATATATATATATATATATAAACCCTTTTCATATTTTTGTTCTATTTAAAATAACTGCTATGGTGGTTTTAGATGTCGAGCAAGTCATATAAAGTCTTTTTTTTTTTTTGAGAGCCAGTTAGTGATCTTTAGATGAGCTTCTCTGGCGCCTGTTTACCAGTTAACCAGTTTACGAGTTCACACGTTCATTCACTCCAACCAGTTAAAAGTTTTGCTCATTTGCTTTCCATGACTAAAACCTACTGGCTATAAATGGTTATATTCAAAGGGGATGCTTCATCTTTTCCAGACCCACATTTCGTCCTTTGTTTTTGTAAACAGGGATATTTGACCTTGATTTAACCCAACAGGCGCATAATCACCTATAATTGTGTCTTTTGTAATTAGTAGCAAAAAAAGCTTAAAAAGGGCTTTTCTCTTTTAATAAGAATCTGGTCTAAAGAAATGCATCAACTAAAATGTGGGCCATTGCACACTGCAAAATTAACATAGGCCTACACTTCATAGGCTATATTTATTAAATTTATTTTGCATGTAATTTTACTTTTAGACTAATTTTAACTCACATAAATAACATTTAATTTGAACGATCACCAATTGTAACGCTTATTAAAATGTTGAAATGCACCTTTTTTTCTCCTGCTAAACAGTTTAGTGAAAATTCATTGAAATGTCGCGTTAGTCCTGACACATTTCCCCTGAAGATCCCGAGGTTCCTCAACCTTTATAATCCCGGAGTTGGTGGCTCGTGCCACGTGGTTCTCCAATCCCGTATAAAAACTTTCCAGAGGCTCAAAGGCGGCACAATGTCTGTTCGCACGAGAAACGAGCCGAACACACACACACACACACACACACACACACACCGAGAGCTATGATGAAGAAGTATATTGGAAACGTACACTGGAAGTCAAAATGTCCAACAAAGGAGGACACGATCTTCATCTGAAGAACTAAAAAGGCGAATGATTATTTGGAAATACTGTGGGCTCTTTCTTTGACTGGTTTACACTCGATTCCCTTCACCATAGATGATTTGAACTCAATAGCGTGAAGAAATCACCGGGACAAATCATAACAGGTCCTTTGTTTAGTCTGTGGGGTTTTACACGCGTAATGCTGAGATTTCCAGTTATGCCATGACGCATCAGACGCGTGCGTAAAAGTGCCATTCGCGGCTGTACGTGGACAGATATCAAGAGCTCTGGTTACTTTATTATTTACACATCTCACATTTATCAACTTTGAGAAATTTTGATGGTGTGACGAGCCGTTCTCACTGTGATATCGATCCGAATTGTGTTGAAATCATTGACGGAGTGACCGAAGAATCAACCGCAGGAACATAGTCCAGACGTTTACAGGATTTATTGCGTTTGCGTTTAATTCGGATCGAACCGGATCTCCTTGAAGAGTGGATTTAACACTTTTAAGTCTCACTTTTTTTGGGAGAAAAGAAAGCGGATACGAACTTGGCCGCAATCATCTCCATCAGCCCTGCTCTCGTATCATCAACCCTGTTCTGTTTATTAACACGGAAGATGAAAAGCTTGATATTTGAAGTGCTTTGTTTTGTGTCCATCCTCATCTCCATCCGCTGCACACCGGCACCGGACACCGAAACCCCGAGCAGCAGCCCGAGCTGCGCGTCCTGTGGGCTCAGCCAGACGGATGGAGGCACTCTGGTGGATGTGGATTTGTTGGAGGCGGTGAAGAGACACATTCTGAGCCGGTTACAGATGCGGGACAGACCCAACATCACCCACCCCATCCCGAAGGCGGCGATGGTGACCGCGCTCAAGAAGCTCCACGCCGGGAAGGTGCGTGAGGACGGGAGGGTGGAGATCCCAAACCTGGATGGACACGCCGCGTCCGTGAACGAGGTGGAGGAGGAGACTTCGGAGATCATCAGCTTCGCCGAGACAGGTGTGTATAAGATGGGTCTGCGTTTGGCCGGTTACGCACAGGTAGCCTATGTTTCCATTACCCTGTTTTTATGCGCATTTTGAAGTATCGCATCAGAAACGAGTGATGGAAACGCCAAATTTCGAATAAAAAAATCCCTTAAATCGCAAAAAAAAAAAAAAAGTTTTTACGCTCGCTTGAGGTGGTTTTTGACTTGTGCGAAAAATGGTTAATGCGAATAATGGGAGATGGAAACGCATTCGCCGAGTCAATTCCTCCATGCGCATCAAAAAAGGCATGTGGCTTTGCGCTATGGGACGGCAAAACCTGACTAACCAGCGGACCGATCTTGTTCCACAGCATCTGAAATATTGTTATGGTCATTTTGAAATGCCTGAACAAAGTCCGTCATCAAAGTATCTCTGTGTAATTGCCTCCCAGAACCCTTAATTAAAGTATCAAAAAGAGCATTTAAAGTCATCAGGGTTCAGGAATTGCGCAGAACACTCATGCATCCACAAACCTGTTAAAGAATCAAACTAAAGCCATTTGCTGCTTATAAATCAACAAATTCTAGAATCTGCTCTCAACTGATCAAAATGCATCAGGTGATGTATTATTATCTGACAGCAGTAAATCATGAAAACAGATACAGCTCAACTTTCAGTTGCTGTTATTGTCCAAATGGCAGATTACAATGTTTCCTTTCACTTGTAGTGTTTCTCACTCCAGGCCCTAATACTGATCTGATGAGTGAATCAGGTAAGAGCAGGACTGAGAAACACTAAAAGTGAGATAAATGCTGTTAAAGGAATAATTGATCCAAAAATAAAAACATTTGCTCAAAATGTCCTCACCCTCAGGCCATCCTTATCAGATCTTGGTCAGACTAGAATTTAAAGGAATAATTGCAAGAAGACAAAAGCTGTGTGTTTGTAAGAAACAAATCCATCATTAACATTTTCCATCATAAAGTCCATCATTCATATTAACGCTTTCTCCATTGAAAAATTGCTCTGGTCTGAATCAGAGAGAAATCTGCACAGATCAAGCAGCGTTTACAAGCCAAAACAGTCCAAAACAGCTCTAAACAAATATGTGGCTGGAGATGGACTTTTTCATGGAAGGAAGCGTTATTATGAATTATGGACTTTTGGACTTAAATTATGGACTTTGAAGTTAAAAATGTCTTGATGGATTTGTTTCCTACAAACACACAGCTTTTGGCTTCTCCAGATGTTAACTGATGGACTGGAGTGGTGTGGAATACTTGTGGATTATTGTGATGTTTTTATCAGCTGTTTGGACTCTCATTCTGACGGCACCCATTCACTGCAGAGCATCCATTGCTGAGACACTGATGCAATGCTACATTTCTCCAAATCTGATGAAGAAACCTTTTCGGCAAACTATAATTTTTGGGTGAACTATGCCTTTAAAGTTACTGGATTACAACTGAACAAACAATCTTCCCACAGTGCCTTATGATCATATTTCATGCGTATTCACGAGTGCACATCTTTTACAAAGACAAAAGATGTTTGTCTTCATAATGTTTCAACAAAATGCAATAACTTCTGAAAAGTCTTTTCATTGCAGTTGACGTCAAATAGCTACGTAGTAATCTAATATCAGTTAATGCAATAAAGGTAGCATCAATAAAATCAAATAATGATATTTTTCATGAAGAAAGTCAGGATTGGGATACATAAAGCTGCTTCAGAGAGTCAACTTGACCTTTAGCATCAAAAATCCTCCTCAAAAGTGTCGTGAGTTCATGTAGATCCACAGCAAACTCACATTCAGATGTGCCACCATCAATTTCCACTGGAAACAATCACGTCCCGTGCTGCATTTTTCCCTCTTGAATATCCTGTTACATTCAAAAATCTGTCACATTATGCAAGTAAAATGGGATGCAAAGAACGTTTCATGTTGACTTCACGAGCAGAATTGAGTTTTTTCAGCTTTAGCTTTTCAGTGTATTGAATTTGCTAAACAAATTGAGCAGCATGCAGCAAGAGTTCAAGGTTAAAATAACTTCGGAAGCAAAGAGCTCACGCTTGCACTCAAAAACAACGAATAAATCTTTGCTTAGTAAAGCACATATTCATAAACGTCACAGCACGCAGGATTGAATCTTACCAACGCACCGCGGGTCCGGTCGCGAACGTTGCCCTGTGAAGTCCACAAGATTTCAAGCACCATTTAGGACAAGGCCGCAATTATCCGAACCCAGCGCAGATCTGGACCTTTGACCCTTTGTGCTGTGCTGCTCTGAGGCTGCCAAGATGAGATCCAGGAGCTGTTTACTGAAATGATGGAGATGTTACATGAGCAGCGGATCACATACGGCTGCCCTGCCATTCCTGATCGCATCTGGTTAACCGGTCCATATACGGCCTGCTATTGTCCAATGCTTTCACAATAGACACAGGTTACTGTGGCAGGTTACTGGATGCAACACATTTTTGTTTCGCAGATTTGCTGCTAAAATGAAGTTTTATAGTCACTATGTTGAGGCCTTTGCTTGAAAGAATCGGAGTTTTCAACATGTTTTACTTCCATAATGTGACATATTTAAAAATGAAACCGACATAAACGTAAAATAACGAATGCTTTAAAACATGATTTCATTCACTGACAAGATTGATGACGTCAACTGAAAAGTAAAGTCATTTTAGAGGTAGAACAAGTACTATATTGTAATGAAAGATTATAAAGATTTTTATTATTATATATTTTTTTAATAACATGCACTGATGAATCATTCACAATAAGACCAGGAATAATAATAATAGCAATAATAATAATTATAATTTTCATTTAAAATATTATATAATGCATAATGCTTACTTAATGCTTAATCTTTAAATAATAGAAAATGTTAAAACATTAAAAATAAGCAAAAATGAAAATTAAATAAATGAAAAACAAGTAATTTTATTAAGTAATATTAAAACAAGTAATAATAATAATAATAACAAAATGCAGCTCAAAGTTATCTACGGGTCAGAATATAAAAACAGAATTATTATAAAATAAAAAACATATGTAAATGAAAAGGGAAGTTAAAAAAATAAGGAAATTATAAGAATTATTAAGAAATTATAATAATAAGTATGCAAATGTTACATATATTGTAAAATCCAGCTCAAAGTGTTTCGCAGCTCAGAATATAAAAAATAGAAATATATTATAAATAAAAATAAATAAATAAAGGTAAAACAGAGAGGTTGCAATTTATAATAACTTTCATTAGTATGTCATTAAAAACATTATATAATGCATAATGCTAGCTTAATGCTTCATCTATAAATCATAGAAAATAAAAAATTAAATAAAATTGAAAAATAAAGTTAAAACAAGGAAATAATAATAATAATACAATTCTGTAAATATATATAAATAGTAGTAGTAAAATAAATAAATACAATCTTTAGAGACTTAAATATCATATTCAAAATCCAACTTAAATAAAAGTAAATATCATTTCTAAATCCAGAACCTTCTTTTTCAAAAAAATGCATACATTTATGATATTGAATTTATGCACAGTAGCAAGTCAGAAAGCAGTTTTATGGTAAAGGCTTGCAGTGGCAGTGATCTGATGAAGCCATCTCATTAGGATGCGGGGTGACCTCAGGACACGGAGCTCTGGAAGACGTCCAGGATCTTCATGAGGATCTCGTTTTCTGTAAGAATGGTGCTGGCAGAGGCCAAGTGAGTCCCTCTAGGTTTCTGTGACATCTTAATGGTGTGTGGAGACTCAGGTGAGGACGGCTGCCAAGAGGGAGAATTCGCTCGCGCTGTCTATTACAGCCAATGATGAATGTGCTCCGCGCTTTGCAAAAGGCCTGAATCGAAGCGGGAAGCCGTCCAACCTGTAATCATGCGTCGCCCCACGTCACCGCTTGTTTTTAGCTGCGCTTCTACGCTTTGATTTGGCCAGCTGGAAGCGGCGCTGACAGTAAACACCATCCCTCCTGTGTTCAGTCGTGTTCAGGCATCACTAGTGCTCATACTGCAGGCTAGTGATCTGAACAAACACTTAACACAGAGTAACTACCGCTGTTTGTCAAACAAACCTCCGTGATGTCTGAAAATCACCGGGTTAGTTAAGCAGATGTGTGCTAATCGGTGTTGGTATTGTTAACTAATACTATTGAAAATTGTTTTTGGCAACTGAAATCATGTTGATATACAATTAAAATATACTAAAATAAATAATATAAAATAAAATACTAGATTAAAAACTAAATTTGGTAAGTAACTGAAATTAAGTTTAAACTGAAGTACTAAATTACTAAAAAAAAAAATACAAAAAATAACTACAACTAAAATAAAGTAAATTAAAACAAACGGTTTTTGATAAGTGAAATACAGGTTATATAAAACATAATATAATAAAATATTAGATAAAAAATTAAAAAATGAAGAAATGTTGCCTTGGCAACTAACTAAAATAAATAAGTTTAAACTGAACTACTAAAATTACTCAAATTGAAATAGATGTAAATTAGAACTATTTTTTTAGTAACTGAAATAAAGCTAATATAAATTATATATATATATAAAACTGAAGTACTACAGAAATAAATGTAAAAAACAGTTTTTTCCCTATTTTTTTCAGTAATTGAAATAAAACTGATATAAAATAAAATCTAATAAAATATATATATATATATAAATAGCCTATTAGAAGGAAAAATTTCGATGAAAAAGAACAATTTTATTTTGGCGCCTAACTGAAATAAGTTTAAATTGAAGTAGGCTACTAAACTTACTAAAACTAAAGCTGAAATAAAAGTAAATGAAAACTAATTATTTTGGCATTTGAAATAAAGTTGATCTAAAATAAAATACAATTAAATATATAATAAAACATCTGACGAAAAACTTACATTTAAAATGATTTATTTCAGTTATTTTTGTTTAAGTACTAAATAAAACCAAAATAACAGTCAATTACAACTGTATAGAAATCTATACAAAAATAAAAATGTATAAGTAATTCAAAATATTAATATATACTATAATATTGTATAAATATGACTAAAATAACACTGGTGTTAATACTCTTCTAAATGATCAGAATCTTTTCAGTTTTCACTTGTCAAGATGCTAAAGCATCCACAGAAAGGAACGAGGATATAAAAGACACTTAGGATAGCAAACAAGCAACCAACGCACCCTAGCAACCTCATAGCAACATGCTAAAAACATTCCAACTTTAGCAAAAGCCCAGCAACAGCCTGTCAGCTTCCAACAACACACCGGCATCAAGAGAGTTAGGAGAGTTTCTGCTGTTCCACTGACGCTGATTGAAGAGTTACATCTCTGTCTATTACATTCTAATTACACATGTTTGTTATGATTTCTCTTGGTAAATGGATCCGCATTGATTTACTGGATGTGCCACATATCCATATAATAACCTTCATTACACTCTAAAAAATGCTGGGTTAAATATAACCCAGCGCTGGGTTAAAAAGGGACAAACCCAGCTATTGGGTTGTTTTGAACCCAACCGCTGGGTCAAAACAACCCAATAGCTGGGTTTGTCCCTTTTTAACCCAGCGCTGGGTTATATTTAACCCAGCATTTTTTAGAGTGTAGCATGTCATTAAAAGCATTTTATAACAGGATCATTAATTCATGTGCATTCAGATATAAATATAATGAACATTAAATGATATGTTTAACTATTTGATTGTGCATTAAAGGGATATTTCACCAAAAATGAAAACAATTTTTCTTTCTAGGAAAAAAGAAGTCCCTTTTGTGACGATATTATATGTGAAGCATCATATAGTGTAATATTTTTAGTATTGTTTTGTATTATACATCACTATTATTATATATTATTATGCTGTTCATAAGTATTATGTACATATTAGTAGTATTTTTCTACATTTATGCTAAATTGAAGTCGAATTTAAGGTTTAACATAAGATAATGTATTAACTCATTAATTAATTGTTAATAATTCATGGATTAGCTCATTAACTCACATAACTCATGAAATTAAATTTTAATGCGCATTAAAGGGATAGTTCACCCAAAAATTAACATAATATTGTGTTACGAGGAAGAAGAAAAAAAGTCACTTTTGTGACAGTGTGATCTATCATATATCATCATATAGTGTAGTAATGTTAGGATATTTTTTTAATATATACTACTATTAATATATGTTATGTATATATTAGTAGTATTTTTGCTAAATTTAAGTTTCATTTAAGATTTGATAGAATAAAATAGATGAATATCCATTATATTAATATGCATTAATGCTAAATTGAAAAGCATTTTGTTTTATTTAACTTTAAATTAAACTAGTGCTGTCAAACGATTAATCACGATTAATCGCATCCAAAATAAAAGTTTTTAATTACATAATATATGTGTGTGTGCTGTGTTTATTTATTATGTATATATAAATACACACACATACAGTATATATTTAAAAAAATATTTACATGTATATATTTATATTCATATAATTTACATTATATATAAATATATTTAATATATAAACGTAACATATTTTTCTTAAATATATACATGCATGGGTGTGTGTTTATATATACATAATAAATATACACAGTACACACACATATACTATGTGAACAAAAACTTTTATTTTGGATGTGATTAATCGTGATTAATTGTTTGACAGCACTAAATTAAACCTAAATTTAGCATCACTTTAGCAAAATACTACTAAAACATACATAATACAAATGTATCATTATATATAGCGTATAATAAAATGTAAAAAAACAAAACATTTTTGGGTGAACTTTCCCTTTAATACACTGCTTTGTGCCCAGGAAGAAAAAAGTCAACATCTGTGAAGCATCATGTAGTGCCATATTATTTGTTATTGTTACTAATGAAAGTTTTCATAACATATTAACTCTAATTCAGCAGGACAGAGTTTATATTTAAATGAGTTACAGTGCTGTGCTGGAACCAAATGTGATTATCCAATCAGAGGCCTTAGAGCCGCCCATGTGACTCTCTCTCGGCACAGCTGCACTCAGCATGTTACACAATTACACACATATCCAGAATATTGTTTGATTTATTTTTAAACATTTCAATTTTATGTGTGTTTTGCGGATACTTTTCAGCCAAACTCCCGAAGGCTCGGATTTATTAATCCATTACAGAGAGACAGAAATATCATGACACGACCAAACCGAGAGAGAGAAACCCAAAGCATGTTGCATTAGTTTGTTTGCTAAGTCAGTCATGTGATCAGATGCATGATAAAGTAGGTGTAAAATCCTGAGAAGTTAGTTTGCAAGCAGAAGAGATGGGTTTGGATGAATCTGGAGTGGTCGGTGGCTCCAGAAGCGGTCAGTATCATGTAAATGTGTCCTTTTGTGAATGTCAAAGGGATGTGCTTGATCGCGCTCTCACTGTACGGCTGTATGTCCACGGTTCCTGTGACGTCACGCGGCTCATTGTGTGTCTCTGCAGCTCACAGGAAGTCTTTGCTGGTTTGTGTTGTTCTCTCACAAGCTCTCTGACTCCTGTCATCTCCATCCAGACCCCCGGCAGCTCTGGACCGGACGCCAGAATAGCGCCGCTGTCACGAGACCCTGAGAACACACATTTAACCATACAATAATCATCAGCAAAACCTCCTGAGGGCACGTCTTGGCCGTATTACACCCTAAAATCAGAAGAAAGAAATACAAAATGATTTTTTGCACGAGGATTTATTATATTCTACACAAAATGAAGCTTATTTATTGGACAATTTTTGTTTTTATCTTTGCATTGTGATTTATTTTCATGATTTAAATTGCAAAGTATTTATAACATCATAGTCGTGTTTGTTTTTTTGTTTTGTTCTTTTGTTCTGCCTAATTTATGCAGAATTTAAGTTTAATTTAAGGTTCAATACAATAAAATCGGTAAATCTCATGAAACCTTCTAAGAACATGTCTGGGTCAAATTAGAAATAAGAAATAAAATTTTGGCACACAGATCTAAAAGGAGGTTTATTTATAGAACAAAAATATATTTTTGCATAATTTTCATGGCAATTAAGCACATTTCTCTCCTATTTTCATATCAGTAATGTGAGTATATGAAATTATATATGATATATAATAAATTCAAAGTATATAAAATAATTATTATAATATTTAAATAGCTAAATTTGAGTTTAATCAACGGTTAAATAAAATAAAATAAAATAGGTGAATCTAAAAAAAAAAAAAAAGAGATATACTATAAAATGAATTTAGATATTTAAAAATAGGTATTCTGCAAAAAATGAAGCCTATTACAAGACAACAAAAATTATTTATTAAAATTATTTTTATGACAGTTAAGCCATTTCTCTCTTATTCTCATTATTGTAATGTGAACAAATGAAATCAAATCTATGCTAAATGTAAGTTTAATTTAAGGTTCATTTAAATAATATGGGTAAATCTCATGAAATCTTCCTTTTAACTTGAAATCTGAAAAAATAAATTATATTGTGCAAAAAAAAAGCTAATTTATAAGACAAAAAATATTTATTTTGACATTATTTCTATGACCATTAAGATATTTCTCCCCAGTCATTATTGTAATGCGACTATATGAAATGATATTATGTATTACTATTATATATAGTATTTGTATTTTTGGTCTGCCTTTATGCTGAAGTCAAGTTTAATTGAATGATTAATTAAAAAAAAGGGATGAATCTCACAAAACCTTCCAATAACATGTCTGGTCATATTTTACCCTGAAATCTGACTAAATATAAATATATGCATATTTATATATGAAAAGATATATATATATAATTGTGTTTTTTTATTGTATTTGTATTATTTTTTATTACAATTAAGCACATTTCTCCTCTTTTACAATAACTGTATTGTCAAAAAAGGTACATTATTTAAATTGTAAAGTATATGGAATTTAAAAAATAATAAAAAATGTAAGTAAAATACTGTAATGAGAATCTCATGAGACTGAACACGATTTAATGTCTTTAGGTTGAAGTGGTCCCAGTTAAGTGGGCCATTCATGATGGCCTTAGAAATCCGCTGCCCTCTCTGAATGTCAATGTCTCGAGTCTTTATCCTATAGGCTTTGAGTTCACCAGGTTCATCAGGTTCACGGGGAGCATATTGCCCAAGTCAGCTGAGCAACAGCTGATGAAATGCACTGAGCTGATCTTTTCTCTCTTTTCTTGATCCCACAGACGAATCGCTGACCTCCAAAACCAGCCTGTTTTTCGTGATCTCCAACGAGGGCAACCAGAACCTGTATGTGTCCCAAGCCAGCCTGTGGTTGTACTTCAAGCTTCTGCCTAACGTTTTGGAGAAAGGCTCGAGGAGGAAGGTCACGGTGAAGGTTTACTCGCAGGAACCAGGACTCGGGAGCAAGTGGAACTTGGTGGAGAAGCGCGTGGATCTCAAACGCAGCGGATGGCACACTTTTCCATTGACGGACGCCGTGCAAATGGTTTTTGCCAAAGGCAATCGCCGGCAGAACCTGGATGTACGGTGTGAAGTGTGCGATAAGATGGGCGTCATGCCTGTTTTGGTGAACACGGCCGACGAATCCCACCATCCATTCCTTGTGGTCCAAGCACGAGCGTCTGACAACAAACACCGCATCCGCAAACGAGGCCTTGAATGTGACGGCAGCAGCAGCTTGTGTTGCCGCCAACAGTTTTACATCGATTTCCGTCTCATCGGCTGGAACGATTGGATCATCGCCCCGTCAGGGTACTTTGGGAATTATTGCGAAGGGAATTGTCCGGCGTACATGGCCGGGGTTCCCGGATCGGCTTCGTCTTTCCACACGGCCGTCGTGAACCAATACCGCATGCGAGGAATGAGTCCAGGATCCATGAACTCCTGCTGCATCCCAACCAAACTCAGCACCATGTCCATGCTGTACTTCGACGACGAATACAACATCGTGAAACGGGACGTGCCTAACATGATTGTCGAGGAGTGCGGCTGCGCTTGAGACTTCCAAAATATCATAGTAAGAAACTAATATTTATGACTCATCCGTGCCCACAAATTCACATGCACACCCCAACTCTTCCACGCATCTTTGTACATATATTTATGTTCTTTAATCATCGAGCAATTTAGTTCCAGTCTACAGGTTTGTACGATTCTGTCACGTCAAAGGGATGGGATTGCTTTTATCTCTGTTTACACTTTTAAAAACAAAGCTTCTTTATTGGCATCGATGGTCATCCATTATACAAGAGGTTCTTTAGATTACTAAAATGTTCTTCACACTGGTTCTTTTAAAGAGATAGTTCAGCCAAAAATGAAAATTTGCTGGTAATTTACGCACCCTCAGGCCATCCAAGATGTAGGTGACTTTTTTCCTCAGTAGAACAGTGAAGAAGATTTTTAGCTGAAACAGTGGTCCTTGGTGATCCATAAAATGCAAGTCAGCGGCTGCCAGCACTTTGAGAATTCAAAAAGCATATACAGGCAAAACTAAATGAATACCCGTGGCATTTGAAGATATATTGAGTTCTTATGAAGTGAAGCAATCAGTCTGTGCAAGAAACTGAACATTTTTTACAACATTATTTCCTGTAATCCAGAGCCTCAGGCAAACTGGGAAATACGATTCTTTTCCACGAACTGGTTCATTTCAATGAACTGATTCAATTCAGTAGTTTATTTACGTAATGATGCAATGATGTCACGTATACGAAATTATATTATTAATGCACCCAATAATGATGTGAAATGTGGATGTTTTGCATGTCTAAAGCATATAAAGTGAATAAACTAGTCTTCATCAGCTCAACTTTTTACATAAACAATGAGAAACCATATAAACATTAATTTCACCCCTTCATTCAAGTGTTTGGTTCATGCATGCACATATCAGTGGCCCATCGGTCTTTCGTCCAAATCGAACTGTTTCATCAGTTCAGTGACTGTTGGAGGAACTGGAGCATTGAATGAGTTCATTCATCATAGGCTCAGATACAACGCTATTTCAGCTCATTTTGAGTTGGAGTGACTGTCAGGCGTCCGAAAGTTCAGTTCAATCTGGTGAATTGATTGAACTAACTCACTAAAATGAACTGATTCAAAAGAATAATTCATTCATGAACTGGACATCTCTCTGGACCGTTTGCCTGAGGCTCTGGATTACAAGTAATAATGTTGTAAATAATGTTCACAGACTGATTGTTTTGCTTCATATAAGAGCTCAATATATCATCAGGAGCCACAGGTTTTAATTTTGCGTTCCTTGATATGTCTTTTTTTAATTCTCAAAAACGGGCAGCCGCTGATCTGCATTGCTTGAATTACCAAGGACCACGGTTTCAGCTAAAAATCTTCTTTACTGTTCCACTGAAGAACAAAAGTCACCTACAGGTCATCTAGGATGGCCTGAGGGTAAATAAATTAACAGCACAATTTCATTTTTGGGTGAACTATCCCTTTAAGAACTGTTGACTGAAAGATTTTTTGGGGAACCAAAAATTGATCTTTTATGGCATCGCTAAGAAAGCCCCCTTTTGAAACCTTTATTTTTAAGAGTGTAGTTTGGTTCTTCTCTTGGAAGAATGGAAAGAGGAGGGGTGATCTTCTCAAAAGACTTTTATATCTGTGTACCTTCCCGAAAAGCACTGACCATCTTCTCAAAGCAACGCCAGCACTTCCCACATTGAGTCCATTGAGTGACAACCAATCCATTTAAGAGCATCCATCTTCAACGATCATCTGCAAAGAGCTACAACAATCTTTGGGTTTCTCGACAGACATGAGATCCATTCATAAATCATGAGGTGTGTTTTCTTATGTCTCGGTTGTTATTATTCATGCAACAAGCCGAAGACATGCTTCTGAAACACAAGTGAATCCACTGATCTCATAAATTGCCAAACTCTTCAGTTACATCATGGTGCAGCATAGCACTTGCAAATAATATCGAAAATGCACAATATAAAGCACTTGCAGACTTAAAAATGCCTTCGAAGGTACCAAGTGGTGCACCTCTTTCACGATTCCTCTGAAATAAGTGCCACACAAGCTATGCAATGTATAGTAGTGACCTACACCGGATGACCCACTTGTTATGAACCATTTTCAATACTTGAAATGTAAACTTTCGCTTCCTACTCTGAGAGGATGGTTGTTACAGTGTTTGCACTGAAGTTGCATTATTAGTAAAGAAAAAGCCTGCCATTGAAAAAAAAAGAAAAGTTATTTTTATAGAAGCTGAAACTGAATTCTGTTCAAATGTATTATACCGAATTATGGAACCAAAGAGGCCAAGATTTTAGCTATTGTGATTCTTTTGTAAAAATACTTTTTAAATGCGCAAGAGGCCTAAACAATGTATCAGGGTACAACAGAATGGATTCCATTTTCAAGTTGTTGTTTTGTACAGTAGATAAATGGAATATTTCATATTTTTCCATCAACTTTAATTGTTTTTTGTTTTTTTCAGTTTTCTATTTAATACTTCTGAAGCATCTATTCCGGAATCATTTAGAGTCAAATACATGCCATCTCTGTACATCTTATGTAAGATAAAAATGCTTTTAAATATTTTGTTCTTTGTAACTGTTATGAAATAAATTTCTTATACTGCATCAAAATCGACTTGTGTTACTTTTACATTAATGTTTATGCATTTAGCAGATGCTTTTATCCATTGCATTCAAGGTATGCACTTTATCAGTTCATGCATTCCCTGGGAATCAAACCCATGACCTTGGCGTTACTCGCGCCCAGTTTGTCAGTTTGATTCCCAGGAAATGCATGAGCTGTTGTGTTAGATTTAGTTCTCTTGAACACATGGGATGAAAACGGTGCTTTATTCGCAAATGTTTTATGCAATCGTCCAATTTTTAGCACATTTTCTGGGTGTCGAACCCATTGGTATTACTAGTGCCAAGGTCATGGGTTCGATTCCCAGGGAATGAATGAGCTGTTGTGTTAGATTTTGTTCTCTTGAACATATGACATGGGATGAATACAGTGCTTTATTCGCAAATGTTTTATGCAATAGTCCAATTTTTAGCACATTTTCTGGGTGTCGAACCCATTAGTATTACTAGTGCCAAGGTCATGGGTTCGATTCCCAGGGAATGCATGAACTGTTGTGTTAGTATTTCTAAAAAGATACTGTATTTGCTAAGGCAAGCTACAGTAGCTATGTTTGCATCCACTTATTTTATGTAAAATTCGGGATATTGCATAAACACTGGATGGAAATGACAAGATGCTCATAAAATGATGATTTTTTTATTAGGCAAGAACGCATGCATAGTCAAGTCAATTCACCTTTATTTATATAGCGCTTTATACAAAACAGATTGTGTCAAAGCAGCTTTACAGTGTCAAACAGGAAAACAGTTTGTCAATAATGCAAGAGGACAATAACAAAAAGTCATTTTTCAGTTAAAGTCAAACATTATGATGGAAACACATTTACTGAACAAGTTCCTGGATGCAACAACAATCTTGTGACTTTGCCTCAGCAGATCATGTGATTAGATATCTGGACTAACCAGCATTGCACACCATCTGAAATATTGTTTTAATTGTGCTGAAAAAATCCATCATCAAAATGATTTGGTATAATTACCTCCTAGAACGGCTTCAAACAATTGTGTTCCCAAACATCAGGCTGCAAGATAACATGACAGCATTTGTTATTGAATTTCATCTGAATTAAGTCATTTATTTAAAAAGAGGCTTGTGCTTCTCTGGTTGCAGCAACTTCTTATTATTTTATTACTGATACTTTGAACCATTTTCCCAGGAAGATTTTGCTCTCTTGAACACATGGGATGAAAACGGTGCATTGTTTGCTAATGTTTTATGCAATCATCCAATTTTTTGCAAGTTTAGTTTGCAACTTTGGATGGAAATGTATGTTATGGCTAGCTGAACAAAACTTTAACCCTAAATAATAAATTGCAGTGTGTATTTTGCAAAGTTTGTGCTACAAACAAAAAGTCAAAGCCAATATATGTGAGCCTGGAGCACAAAAGCAGTCATAAGTAGCACAGGTATATTTGTAGCAATAGCCAACAATACATTGTATGCATCAAAATTATCAATTTTTTTTTTATGTCAAAAATCATTAGGATATTAAATACAGAAGATGTTCCATGAAGATATGTTGTACATTTCCTACCATAAATATATCAAAACTTAAGTTTTGATTAGTAATATGCATTGCTAAGAACTTAATTTTAACAACTTTAAAGGCGATTTTCTCAATATTTAGATTTTTTTGCATCCTCAGATTCCAGATTTTCAAATAGTTGCATCTCAGCCAAATATTGTCCTATCCTAACAAACCATACATCAATGGACAGCTTATTTGTTCAGCTTCCAGATCAGAATTCAATTCAATTGTAATAAAAACATAAAAACAAAAACACATGACAAACAACCAATTTCAGATGTAATAACAAATATGCTAATATTATAATGCTTTTTAACTTTGGTTACAATTGTTCAGGAAAATATATAATGCATTATTTTGTAAATTACGAATATACAATGCAAAACAAAATTTTCCACCTTTTCCATATTATCTGTCAAGTTCCAGCTAGAAGAAAACAACAGCAACACCATACAAGCATCATAAAAATAAGTTTATACAACTTGTGCACTAAGTCTTCTCAAGTCTTACAAGGATCGGACCTAATTTTAAGTTGTAAAATCAGATGAAAATTTTCCAGTCAGCTGCTAATCTCAAATATGGGTTGCGTCGGGTTTGACGTTAATGATGTCTGTTTGTGAGACACACGAGAACCAATATTTGATGTCACTGACGTCACAACTGCACTACTGACACCACATGTGAGAGTTGCAATATAGTGCACAAGTTGTATGGACTATTTTGTTGCATTTTCTTGTTTGTTTGGTTTTTTTTGGACAAACTGAAGGAAGTAAACCCCAAACTGTCTTTACCACAAGTCATGACAGATTTTCTACTCGAGTCCAAACTGAACAACACTGACCACATCACTTTAAAGTTCTGAACATCCCAGATCCGTCACCACTGCAATTATGGCATACACTCACATTAGTGCGTCTGTCGTGTGTGTTTGTCAGCAGAAGCCAAATTACATGTTTTGGAAAGACACACACAACCTCTCAATCACACAATACTGAGTATTACTGTGAGGAAGTTTTGCTCACCAAGGCTGCATTTATTTGGTCAAAAATATAGTAAAAAAGTGACACAAAAAAAGTGACGTGCAAAATGTTTCTTGAGCACCAAGCCAACATATTAGAATGATTTCTGAAGATCATGTGACACTGAAGTCTGGAGTAATGATGCTGAAAATTCAGCTTTGACCACAGAAATTTTTTTTTTTTTTTAAGATACATTACAATACAATTTAAAAAAAAAATCAAAATAATATTTCACTATTTTTACTGTATTTTTTTATCAAATAAATGCAGCCTTGGTGAGCAGAAGAGAGTTCTTTCCAAAACATTAAAGAAATCTTTTGATCAGTAATGAAGTGATGAAAGTCCAGCTAAACTGCCTAAACAATCTGAAAGCAGTACAGTTCGTCTCCTGAGCTCTGAAAGAGCAACACCAGCGCAATAACACTGAATGATGTGGACAGAGTTTGACAATCCTGTTCCAGCACCCGCACAAAACAACACAGCCACTTTAATATTTGGAGTCTAATGCGATGCTTGTTTTCCTCCAAAGGCTGAGCTGAACTTTATTTTACAGGCTTGTAGAGTTTATTTCCAGCGGACAGAATGGTCTCTCAGCTCAAACACAAAAAGAGAAACAGTGTTGAACAGATCATGTGAGAGCAAAACCAAACTCATAGACCATACCAAATATGGTGAGTGATCGGGATTGAAGTTCCTCAAGCCCGGGCATCTTAAACCCGTCAAAGTACTGAGTAACGACTGTAAAACAATTAATTCACTTCACCTCAATAGATGCACAACTGTTTGATATTGCAATAAACTCCTGTTGCTAATAAATGTCTCACATGTGTCTGTAGCCGCATATAGCTTGTTTGTCATCAGGCGACTGTAAAACGCTCCAGAATGTTTCATCCTCGTGAGTTTGCGGAAGGGAATTTCTGGAATTTTCCACTTCAGTAATCAAAATATGTTGATCGCAGATATTTTTACCCGCCGCATCCAGGAGACACCAATACTGAAAAAGGCCTGATTCCAGCTCAAGCAGGTCTCAGTGCTTTAAAGGACAGGTTAACACTCGTAAATCAAGATTCTGTCATCTTTTACTCAAGTCGTCACAAACCCGTCTGACTGACTTTATCCTGCAAAACACAAAATTAGATGTTAGGCAGAAAGCATTGCTTTATATATATATATATATATATATATATATATATATAAAATACAATGATCAGAGTCTGTCATACTCTAAAAAACAAAAATCATAAAGGTATCATATGCTAAAGGCCAAGACACATGAAAAGTTTGCACATGGAAAAGAGTTACATTAGTTATTTACCAACAATCTTAAGCTCTCAAATCTCATTTGCAGTACATTAAAAATGATGCATAAGAATCACATCACATCTAATTCTGTCATTTTTTAAACTGAACATAAGCACAAATGACATTGAGATCATTATGAATTTAATCTGTTCCCCACCAGAATTAATTTAGTATATTTATAAACTTTCATAAAATGTATTAATATTTTGAATGAGCTTTTATTAGAATATTTTCATATTTTTTATTTTTGTTAAATTTTGGTAATTTTATGACACACTTTTGTAATTTTTATTACTTAAATTATTATTTTTAAATTATTAAAAAATATTATTTTTTTATTTTAGTTTTTCAACTTATTTCAATTAGTTGCAAATGCAACAATTCTAATATCTAATATTTTACATCTAATATTTACATGAATTAGCTTTTATTTATATTTTTGAAGGTTTCATTTTAATTTGTTAAAGTTTTAATAATTTCATTATATGCTTTTGTCAAATTCTTTTTATATTTTGAGCTTATTTTAATTTTAGTTTGTCATTTTAGTATTTAAACATTTCAGATTTCAAATTTTTGGTGATTTGTTTTTTAAGATTAAGTTCTCATCTAATATTTATATTATGAATTAGCTGTTATTTTTATATTTTCAGTGTCATTTTAATTTTATGAAGTGCTTTTGTCATATTTTTAAATTTATTTTCATATTAGTTTTACCATTAGTCATTTTAGTATTTAAAATTATTTCAGCAAGTTTTTCCATCTAATAGTTATATTATGACTTAGCTTGGAATTTAAAATGAATTTTTATATTTTCAGTTTCATTAAAATTTTTGTTAAAGTTTTAGCAATTTTATCATGTAATTTTGTCATTTTTATTTAAATGAAATTTTAATTAATTCAGTATAAATCTATTCAACTTATATGAATTAGATTTTATTTGTATATTTTCAGTTTTTCTTTTTATTTTGATTAAAGTTTTCATAATTTTATTATGTGTTTTTGTCATTTTGCATTTGGATATATTGCATTTATTTCAATATC